AAGTAATGACACCAAATCTTCAAGGCAAATACTACGGCTGCCAATTCTAGATCATGGGTGGGATAGTTCTTCTCATGGGGTTTCAATTGACGAGATGCGTATGCTATGAGTTTACCCCATTGCATTAATACACAACCCAAACCCTTATGTGACGCATCACTATAAATTTGAAATTCCTCATTACCTGATGGTAGTACAAGAACTGGTGCTATAACTAACCTCGTCTTGAGTCCCTGGAAGGCTGCGTCTGTACCCTCGGTCCATTCGTATGTCACTCCCTTTTGAGTCAGTTGTGTCAATGGTACTGCAATCTTCGAGAAGTCCTTCACAAACTTCTTATAATAACTTGCCAAACCCAGAAAACTACGAACCTCAGACACATTAGTCGGCCTCGGCCAATTCACAACGGCTTCAACTTTGCTAGGATCAACTGAAATACTTTCTTCATTAATCACATGCCCTAAAAATGAAATGCTGGAAAGCCAAAACTCACACTTGCTAAGCTTGGCATACAACTTTCTATCTCTCAAAATTTGTAGGGCTAGTCTCAAATGCTTCTCATGCTCAACTCCACTCTTGGAATAGATCAATATATCGTTGATGAAAACAACCACAAACTCATCTAGGTATGGCTTAAAGACTCTATTCATCAAATCCATAAATCCTGTAGGAGCATTAGTCACTCCAAAAGGCACTACCAAAAATTCGTAGTGGCCATATCTCGTCCGAAAAGCAGTCTTCTCAACATCCTTGGTGATTGTCGTAATTCTATCTCTTCCTCTGGCTCTCTCCTAAACTCTGGTACCGGTTCAGGTTAGCTTCTGCAAGGATGGCCTTGTCCAATACTCCGGCGTAAGTCGGCATGTTAACTCGATCTTGTATCGGCCCATGAAGCCCACTTTCAAACTCTCTAGCCTTTCTATATTCATCATTGACCATATGAGGCGCATATCTCACCAACTCGGTAAAAGCACGGTCGTATTCTGCCACTGTCTTGTTGCCTTGTGTTAGAGTCTGGAACTCTGTGGTCTTGCGATCTCGGACACTGAGGGGAAAATGCTTGTTGTAAAACAACTCCAAAAATCTGGCCCAAGTGAAGCCTGGATTGCCTTCCCGGATCATCATCCACCATCTTCGTGCGTCGTCGTCCAGCGTGAATGCTGCCAATGACACCTTCTGAGCGTCGGTGCTGGGAAAAATCTCAAACAACTTCTCCATTTCCAAAACCCACGCTTCGGCTTTCATCGGCTCTATACCCCCTTGGTATCTCGGCGGGCTTCGGCTTTCATTGACTCTATACCCCCTTGGTATCTCGCGCGGGTTCATCTTCTTGAACTCTTTGATCAAGGTTATCGTGCCGTCCCCATATAAAGCTTGCTGTGGAGGCACTTGCGGCACTGGAGGAGGCGGAGGCGGAACTGCATGTCGGCCGTTTGTCTGCTCGGCCTGGGTGGAGGTAGTACTAGTGTCTTGTGGCCTGGGCTGTCTCAACTCATGGACCAAACTTTCGACCCACCTTTCCAGTCTATCTAATCTGTTCTTAGGATGATCTCGGCCAACCGGAGGTCTACCCCTTCTCATGATGCTAGGAGTATGCAAAATATGACTTTAAAACAAAATGAGCAAATAGACATGGATGCAAGTAACAAACAATCGTGCCGAGATGATGCACATCTTGTCGAGTAGCAAGCAATATGATGCAGTCCTAATATCATTCTAAGGGAAATCCTATGCTCCTTAGGACTAAAAGTGTGTGAATAACGTACTATAAGGAATCGGTGCTCTGATACCAATCTGTCACGACCCCATTCCACCCCTAGTAGAATGGTGCCATGATGGCCAGTAATTCGAGATTACCGAAGGCCAGCTTACAAAGATTCGCACACAATTAGAGTATACATATGGGGCTTACATGTGCGGAAGCAATACATTTAAATCTAAGTAGTGCATAGGAGCTGTGCATAGATCAAATGAAACGACATACATCTTAACATAGTTTTACAACTTGAATACAAATAAAAATAAGTACATGATACATCTTGATCAAAAGGCTTCTCAAGCCGACATATACAAAATACATGAAATACAAAGCTAAGTAGCATAGTTTTCAAGATGCTACAAAATAGGAATCCAAAAACATCTTGCAAAACACAACTAGGCGTCACCGCCTTCTTGCTCGTCACCTACATATATATAAGGAGAGGGTGAGTTTGGGTACTCAGTGAATGACATTAGAAATAAAGGGTTAAATGAATGATATCTGAGATCTTTATCAAACAATACATAACTTGTACAAAATCAAGGGGTGAACCAAGTTCATCTATCAAGTCTTTCAAAGCTTCTTAAATGTTAATAACATCTACATAATACCAAACGATGACATTTCGGACAAACAAACCCTCGTGGAAAACCGTCAGTGGCAAAACAAAGGGTGCAGTTGCATTATAGTCCCCTGGCACTAAGGACTGTCAAAACAAGGGTGCAGTTGCATTATAGTCCCTTGGCACTAAGGACTTTCCCAGAATGTCATCAAACAATATAATACTTGATACAAAAATTAGGGATAATCATTCATGCTTGAACAAACACTTTTCCAAAACGAAACAAGTAAAACTTTATCAAACTTTATAACATAGCTTTATTAAAAATACCACTCACATAGCTCTTCAAACATCGGGGTTAAAGCAAGGGTCCAAGTCCTACAAACACATAATACAGTCTACTGAATGCACTTCAAGAAGACAAGAAGAGATGCTCAAAGATGGGTATGAAATGCATTCCTGAAACAAGCGTTGCATGAGTGTAAATGATCTCAGCATTTCTTTCAAGACTAGGTCGAGTCAAAACAAAACATGTTGGAAGTTAAAACACTGTTTTTCATCTCGGGGAAAACATGTCGGGTACCAACCAGGCCTTGGCCGAGGTCCCACACCTCTTAGCCGAGGTATGGTCTCGATGACCACATTCAGGGAAACGAAGTCTGGGGAAAATCTGGGTTTCCTTTGAAGAACATGAAGAATATGAACATGAAGAACATAAAGAACATGAATGCTAAAATCATAACTTCTTTATTCAAAATCTGAGATTTCATGAGATGAGTTCGAAAACATGGACCTAGGTACCCATACTTGAAGATCTTATGAAAACAAACACAAAAACATAGATCTTAATACAAACTTTCGGATCAAAACATGGTTTTATTTCAAGAACACAAGAACATCATTTTCTCTTTCTAAAACAAGCTTTAAATCAATGCAAGACTCATGAATCATGCTAGATCATGCAATGTGATCGAATAAACATGAAGAACAACAAGAGTAAATCAAGAATCTAACCTCAAAACATAGATCTAACGGTTCAAGATGCGAAGATCAAGCTTGGAAATCTAGTTCTCTTCGTAAGAACTTCTTCTTCTTCCTCTTCTTAGAGCTTCTCTCTCTACTATGCAAAATATGACACATAATGATATGTTTTCTCCCATTGCCGGCTGACTTAACCCTCTGCTGGGGCACGTGGCACTACCGGATTGGGGTTTCCTCCAAAAGGTGACTGAATGACAAGATAAGAGCATGACAAAGGGTGTTCAACAAGCAAGATGACATGGGCACTCTAACAAGGTAATGACCTCGGATCAAGACATAGGCTTCGGCAAGAAGGTTTTAATGATTTCGGCTAGGATGGATAACAATTGGCCTAGCTGTGCCACACCTCGGTCTAGGTCATACCAGTCCAGCAACAAGATCACGAGGTGCAAGAATCAAAGACCTAGGGTGTCTAGATGATAACATCTCGGCCTAGATGAAACATATCTCGGCCTAGGTGACGCATACCTCGGCCTAGATGATGACATCTCGGCCAATATGCTAGGGCGAAGGTGGAGGTCAACCAAAGTGGATTCCAAGATGGTCCTAGATATAAGAGGTTCAAGGGTGTGACCTAGGCTTAAGATGACGTCGGCCACACACACCGAGCAAGAAACAAAACATGCAAGCAACACTTAGACGAAACGAATCAAGGTCTGTAGATGCAAACTTAACAAGACAAATTCGTGTGAATGCATGCGAGCATGACTAAGATAAAGTGAGGGTTATTACACAGGCACTTGGGAGACATTGTCCATGACTCAGACACATACGAAACACATTACAATTTTGAACAAAATAATTTAGAATAATGATAAAAGAAAAACAATGTAGATTTATTTACCTATTAATCTGTCCTTTAAATTTTTGAAATTAGTGTTATGTTGTATTTTTTTTTAATTATCTTTGAATGGGGTATTCATATCTATATGACGCATCATTCATAAAACTTTATATTTCGCAAGTTTCCCATGTGTTGTGTCCTGTATTTTTTGAGAAGTGTCGCTGTGTTAGTGTCATGTTTGCATCCGTGCTTCTTAGAGCACATCTAACCATTGTCAACTACTTGAAAGTGATGACACCCATTTCTAAACAATGGCTTTTACAGGAAGCTTTAATGGCCTGCTCTCTAGTTGATAATAGTAGGAATCCTCCAATTTGTCTTTTCTTCCTTTATGAATAATATTACAATGGCCTTGCAGTTTGTGTTAGAAAATGAGAAGTACGCTGAAATAATTTGAAGTTTTCGAGCACAAACAATTCCAATAATATGGCTACACGTCATGGATATGAAAAGAAACAAACAACATCAATTTCTGTTGCTAGTCTATTTCTTATCTTACGCACAATTTAACCATCAAAGTAAGGTATCAATATATAGTAATTATGAAAACACTTCCAATTTGAGAATATTTTGGTCCATTGGAACTGTAATGTTAAAAAATAGATCATTGCCCAGTACTGAATTAGTAATGCGGAGTGCTGGGAGGGTTAAACTGGAGATAGATCTAATATTCAGCCATATTTGCACAAATTGGCTGGCTTCTAGACTCAAACCTGCATTCACATGCTCAGGAGTCTATGCTTTTTACTCTTGAACCAATACGGCAATGTTAGACAATCATAAAATGCTAGGTTAAATGAGACAAGACTTATTAAAATTTGTATGCAGTAGTCATACATTCATGAAAAAGTAAATATTTAACTGAATATGATATTTCCCAACAGGTGCCATGGTACTTGCTGACCGTGGACTATGCTGTATTGATGAGTTTGATAAAATGTCTGCAGAACACCAGGTTTGTCGAGACCTCCAACCAATATGTATTGGTTATCGTTTTAAGTACCAAGACTAAGTTTTATTAATTTTGGGATACCCTCAGGCTCTTCTGGAAGCTATGGAGCAACAGTGTGTCTCTGTTGCAAAGGCTGGATTGGTGGCAAGTTTATCAGCTCGAACTTCTGTCTTAGCCGCAGCAAACCCCGTTGGCGGTCATTATAAGTACTGTGTTTTAGTCTTTTCATTCCATTTATGGGTTATTCTATTCCTTGTGGACTACTATGATGCTAATCATTGATGTGTTTTATGTGTGGATATGGACTACAGTCTATATTTATAAAAGGCTGATCCTAAGTGGTTGGGTTTTCATGTTTTGTTAAGATTTTGTGGATTTTTAGCACCACAATGAGTAGGATAACCCATATAATGTTTTCTATAGACTGAACATTTTCGAAATGATTTCTATTTGAAAGCATATTCTAAATCATATGGTTTAGCAGAGTTCAAATAAGCGGTTACAGCTCCTGCTACAGTTTCTTTTATTTATTATACAGGTTGGCTTGCTTAATAATCATTATCAAATTTCATTGCAGCCGAGCAAAAACTGTCAATGAAAATTTGAAAATGAGTGCTGCTCTACTCTCACGATTTGATTTGGTTTTCATATTACTCGATAAACCTGATGAGTTATTGGATAAACGGGTCTCCGAGCACATTATGTCCGTAAGTTATCCTTCCTGGCCACTTTCTATTGGTACATTTGTGAATATTGTGTCAAATGTATCTCAATCTTAGGTATATGGATATGACATTTCAAGATGGCTCACATTCAGCTCATGTATACATATGTGTATACCTAATCTATTATTCAGGTTGTCAAACAGTTACGATGACAAAATTCTGGGCTTAAATTACTCACATCTGGCCCTCATTTTTGAGCAAATGTTGATGAAACATCTTCAATGTGAACTTATGGGAATTATTTCAGAAATCAATAATGCTACAATGGCCATATTTGTATACCATAGAGTGTTTACCAGCTCGTGTCACCATTGTATTGGTAACAGACATGAATGATGGGGCCCTTTAACTGAACTGGCAAAACGAAACCATTTTCTACCGCCTTGTATGCTTACCACGGCTATGGTGTCTTTAAGAAATTGGAGAGCTTTGTAACTTAACTGGAAAAGGACACCGTTTTCTACAACCCTGTCTACTACCACTACTACGGTTTGTGTAAATGTGCCATAACCCAATATCATGAGGTGATTCTGCCACTTATCTTGTAGTTTGTCTCCAAGTGGCTACATGTTTTTTTTCTGTTGCTTTTACTATTTCTTTCAGCCCAATAGTTTTCCCTGGTTGCAAAAATGGAGTGCCATTCTTTGTATGCATTCCTATGTGAATTGGTGTTTACGGGACTCTAGATCAAATAGATGATCATAGGCCTTAATGGTCTGAGCTTAGTTCAAGGACATGACAAGCATATAACTGAAGCATTTCATTTGCAGCTTCATGCTGGACCTGGAGAACATTCTCCAGCTGCAAAAAAGCTATGTACAGGTGGTGTTTCTACTGTTGGTGTATTAAGTTCTTATGATTGAGGGGAGTCTAACAAATGAACCTTTAAATTTACATATTGCAGCTTCACTGAATGCTCGAGACATACGGACACAAAGTGGTTCTTTAGTTTCAAGATTGAGACTTGACCCTAAGAAAGATGCTGATTTTGCTCCATTGCCCAGTCAGCTTCTTCGGAAATATATTGCTTATGCAAGAACTTTTGTCTTTCCCAGGTAATTTGATTCGCGATTAAGATGCAACATTTTAATCATGGCAACTTTAGTTTGACAACTCCATATATTGCCTTTTGTTGTATCAGGATGTCAAGGCCAGCAGCCGATATCCTACAGAAGTTTTACTTACGATTGAGAGACCATAGCACATCTGCTGATGGTACACCAATAACAGCAAGGCAACTAGAAAGTCTGGTAAGGCTGGCAGAAGCTCGAGCTAGGCTGGACTTAAGAGAAGAAATAACTGCCCAAGATGCTTTGGTGAGTTGATCTTGCCTGTTTCTGGGACAAATTTTATTTGATGTAAATTTCCATCCTCTAAAATCTGCACTACCAGCCTCTGAAAGTGATCTTGATTTAGTTTTCTTGCAATTTTGAACTTAGCTGGTGTATGCAGATGCAATCTTAGGATGCAAAATTTAGGAGGTCCAAGAATGGTCAGATGGGGTTTGAAAGATGTTTCATATAAAAAATTACAAATTTCTGCTGTTTTCTTAGGAAACAAGAAGTCATTTTACTTCTTTAAGTGCACAGAAAGCCTTTGGTTATGTCTCAACAAAACTCTTATTTCTGTGAACAGTGTATCAAAGCTGCTTTGTCTGCTTGATAAGGATTATTGGTATCTTTGTCACTATATATGTATTCTGCTGGTTATCTGGAAAAATCAACCACAAATCTTTAGCTTTTCTTGAATGAATCTGATCATCCACTGGCAATTCTTCCTCAACTTTCTCCTTACCGTTGTTCCAAATGTCGATTAATATGCATGCCCATCAAGGGACTTTTTCCTAGTTTTTTTTTATGCCAGTAGAATTCTTTTAACTAGATGAGGAATCTGAAGTTTTCTTTACTTGTTTGGATGGCCAATATGAATGTTTTTAAACTAATGCATTAGCAACCCATCAATGTGATCAAGCTGCTCATTACTCCCACAATGTGTAGGTTATCCCAACGAAAAGCAAAATGAAAGTTACTACTAACAGATGTGCAAGACCATTACTCAATTTCTGTGGTTCTTGAAATTAGAAAGGTTGACTGCTTCCAATAATCTTTCATAACGTCTGGCACGAAGAAAAAAGCTTCTGTTTCAACTTGCACAGACGTAACCCCAAAAATATTTGAGTTAGCATCTATTTTTCTTCACTTGGTAAGCTGGCAATGAGTGCTAATCTCAACTTTTATGGACTGCAAGTGCAATTTGACAGACAAGCTCGACAGTATAAAGTGATTATATCTTTGGATGAGTAAATTTTGGTTATTGATGCCGTTAATTCACTTCACACTGCTATTTTCAGGATGTTGTTGAAATAATGAAAGAATCCTTGTACGATAAGTATGTCGACGAACATGGTTTTGTGGATTTTGGTCGCAGTGGAGGAATGAGTCAACAAAAGGAAGCAAAACGATTTCTAAGTGCCCTGAATAAGCAATCAGAGTTGCAGCAAAAAGATTGCTTTTCAATTTCTGTACACACCATTGCTTTCTCTATTAGTTCTGTAAACAATTTCACCCCCTGTTGAACTCTCCTTTACATTTTAATTATTTCCCCAGGAAATATACAGTTTGGCAGATAGGATTGGCTTAAGAGTTCCAGATATTGATACATTTGTGGATAATTTAAACAGCGTTGGTTATCTACTGAAGAAGGGGCCAAAGACTTACCAGGTACTATGACATCTAACTTTGTCAAACTTTTGAATCCTGGACACAACTGAAAGTGAGAATTCTTGGGTAACCTACATACACCTATTACATTAGAATTGTCAATACTTTCTAAAGTGACTGGAGTGGCACCTCCTGGATGCCTCAACAAAGGAAAAAAAAAAAATGAAAAAGAAGACACTTTTAATGCTATAGAGATCTCATAGATTTGATGATGAAACTTTGAATGCACTTTGCTGTTTTTCTTGTTTTTTCTGATTTGTTCTACTGATATTACGTCTAATTGCCTTGATAGAACTCATAATTACACAATATTAATTTACAATAAAAAAATGAGAATTGTCATGCTAAATGCACCTATTGTAAAACTATAATTACTTATGGAAAAAGATACACCTATTGTTTTGTAATAGAGGAATGTTACTATTTACTGAGGAAAAAGATACACATCTATGACGTTTTCATGTGCACCTCTATGATGTTTCCATGTGCTGTATCAAATAAAAAAAAATTTGTTTTGAAGATGGAAATCATAGTTTTCATGTGCTGTTTCAGTGAGAATCTCAAATTCTTTCATGCAGGTGCTATCATCATCTTATTCACGGAGTTTGTCGTCAAGGTAGAGGGGCTAAGTTTTGCAGCACTGGAGAGCAGGTCAAATATTGTTTATATTGCTTCTCTATTTCCTTTAATTTGGTTACAATACTTCATATGTAATATGATTGGCTTCTGGCACTACTACACTGATTGTTGCCTTGAAGTTTCCAAATGTTACTTTGACTGTAAAATGTGCGATGTGTTATTGACATATAATGCACATTGGATTTAACCAAGCATATTCTGCAGCAGAGTGTATAAAGAAATCTGACATGGTACATACTGAATTCCTATCTTGAATAACAAAATTTAACATGTGTATATTGGAAAAATGATCTACTTTTCTTTTATGAAGTAATTTGCAGATTAGCTAGAGTCCAAGTTGGTTTCTCTGTTCATTTCATTCCTTTTGACTTGCTTGGTATTTTGAAGCATTGCTTGCTAGCAGAAATCCTTAAACTCCATAGTGATGTGGTTGTTTAATATTCTCTTCTGAGCCGAAATTAGACAATATCTCCTAGAGAAAGCATCCCTATCCAGTTTATTTTTCTTTTGTTATATTTTCTTCTCTTATTGAAATTCTTATTCTTCTCAATTTCTCTCATAATCAGCTTTTCTCTTCCCATCTAGATAACAAGCTTTATGGATGGTGTTGGTTTTATAACATTCCTTTCTCAAATGAAATTGGAATTCATCGTTTGTTTCTTTTCATTCACTCGGATCTCTTCTGTTTCATCAATTTTGTCTGCGAGCTAGGGCCTAAGTTCAGTCCCAAAGGTGTAGTCGATGGACAACATGTGGATATAATGTCTATATATGTTGTAATGTTACATATCTTGGGATTGTAATATAATGTATGTCCTTGCAGATTAGACAACCCTAGCAATGTTAGTACGGTACCAGACATGTTTATATTTTAAATCCAATTTTCAATGCAATTTCAACGAGGCAAATATCCCTCTTCCTGAACCTAAATACCGGATTGCTTAGGAATCTATTTCATATATTACATTAATCAAATGATAAATTACATTTGAATTTCAAGCTTCACAAGGTTGAAATACACTTTTGCTTTTAGAAAACTGGTCGTACCTAGTGCATAAGTCTGCTGCTTACAATAGAGTCAGAGAGGTAGTAGATAGACAGTCTTCCTTCCACTGATGATTATACAGAATCAGAGGCATAATCCTCTCCAGGTTCAAGCCGCCACTCGCTCCCATAATAAGAATTAGGCAATCCCAACCAGAATTTGAAAGCCTCAGCCGCTCTCTTCCTCTCGCTCCTCCGGTCCTGCCTCGCTCTCGAGGCATGCTTGCTCGTAAACATCCTCGAATGCATCTCCACATAGATTCTCGTATACTTGGTCTTATTTGGCGGTATTCCATACTCTTCCATACAAGCAACAATCTCCAGAGCCTTCCTGAAGAAAGCAGCTCGGACACAGACATCTGCCAGAGTATCCAAGAGACCTTCATCAGGCTTCAGCGGTGGTGGGATAGTTGAAGAAACATAATTAGAAACCTCCCTTTCCTTTTCCATCCCACACCTCTCCTTGATTTCGTTCCAAAGCAAAAGTGCTTCCCCGGGCTTTCTAGCTACTGCAATCCCATTCGCAAGGCTTCCATACGTAGCCACATTTGGGTAGAACCCCTTCTCTTTCATCGTCTCAACTATTTTCTTCGCTGCTTCTATAAAACCCAACCTACAATACCCTTCCACCAACATATTCCATGCGGCCAAATCAACCTTCACTCGAGGGTCTTTGAGCATTTCATCAAACACCTTGTTAGCTAGCTTTGGTTGACCTGACAAAGCAAAAGCTTTCATCAAAGTGGTGTAACTAATCTTAGTAGGAGCGATTCCTCTCGCTCGCATCTCATTGAAGTATGCAAGAGCCCCGGCACTATCATCAACTAGTATACATCCATCAATTAAAGTATTATACGAGACCACATCAGGCTCAATCACTACATCATCGGTCATCTCTCGCATCAACTCCTTTGCCTTGTCTATTTGTAGTTGTTGGCAATACCCTTTGAGGAGAATATTGTAAGTGATCCTATTAGCCGGAACAGCAATTCGAGCCATCTCTGCCAAGACCTGTCGTGCACGATCCATTGATCCCACCTTCACGAGCGCCGATATAACGGTTGTGTAAGTGACATGGTCAGGGTGGCTAGCACCATCTTCTTGATGGCGCATTGCCTCTAGCATTCTGACCGTGTCGCTTACTCGACCTTGTTTCATATAACCCTTCATAAGAGTAGTGTACATTCTAGAGTCAGGAGTGTATATCTTAGGCAACAATGGTGGCTCGTAATTACTCGAATCAATAGAATTGGGAAGCAACTTCTCAAACACATCCCTTTCATTTCGATTCGGGTTTTCAAAATTCAATTCCCTTAGAATTTTGCAAAGGTCTCGCCGACCTTCCCTCATTGCCTGCACAATTCTCTCTGCGATTTCCAGCTCCCCAAAACCAACATACGCTGCAACGATCGAATGCAATGTGGTCATGCAAAGTGGAATTTCCTTCATCAAAATCATTTCCAATACAAACACAATCAAATCTTTCCTATCAGCTCTCGCACACAATTTGATCATCACATTATAAGTCAAAACATCAGGCTCACAACCCAACTCAGGCATTTCATCGAACAGTTGGAGGAACCTCTTAGTATCCCCAATATTCGCACAAGCATTGAGAACGGCATTGAAAGCGGCCGTGTCAGGCCTCGAGTCTCTGACAACTTCTTTGTCAGAGAACCGGCGAACTCGCCGGAGAACGGTACCAAACAGTTTGAGAGCTTCGGAGGGACCGTCGTCACCGGAGGCGGCGAGGCGGCTGACGACGGCGCTCCAGGCCTTGATATGGGGGAGATAGCCGGATTTGAGCATGGATTTGATGAGGGAGGAGGCGTAGAGGGTGTGGCCGGACTTGGCTGCAGCGACGGCGAGGAGGCCGAGGGAGTTGGCGTCGAGGCGGTGGAGCTGGTGGTCATGGCGGAGGCGTTGGATGATGGACTGGGCTCGAGAGAGGCTTTGGGGGGTGTTTTGGTAAGAGAGTTGGGAGACAAGGCGGCTGAGACAGGTGGGGGTAGGGAGGTGGGAACACTGGGTGTAGAGAATCCAAGCTTGGTCTGTTTTTCTTTGGCGGAGGAGGGTGAGGAGAGTTTGGTGTTGGGAATTGGGAGGTGTGGTGGTGGTGGTGGTGGTGGTGGAGAGGGAGAGGTTGTTGGGATTGGTGGGGTGGTTGGCGGAGGTGGCTAGTGTGCGAAATGGGAACTTGGGTTTGAATGTGGTGGTGGTGGAGGGTGGTGGTGAAAGCCAGTGGAGAGTGAGAGTGTGGGTTAATGGGAATTGGTTTGGTTGTGGTGGTGATGATGAAGATGAGAGTGGTGGTTTAGTGTTGTTCATGGCCTGTCCATTTGGGGAGGAGAGAGAGGGAGAGGTTTGTTGTTTAAATTGAGAGAGAGAGAGAGAGAGAGAGAGAGTCGGGGGATATTTTTGTTTTGAAGGGGAAGGCAGGTATTGGGTGGAGATGGAAGTACTACGTCGAGTATATTAGGGCCGCTTGTTTGTTTGTTATTTGCACATTACAATTATGATTTTCTTTCTTTTTTAATTAACAAAATGTGTCTCTCTCATGTTCAATACCAACCCACCATATAGATGTCATAAAAAGATATGAATGTTATAATAATAATAATAATAATAATAGAATTATTAGTCTAAGCAAATCATTTTGGTCTTGTCCTGCTTTTTATGTTAATAAAAATACTGAATTAGAAAGAGGTGTCTCTCGACTTGTTATTTATTATAAACCTTTAAATGCTGAAGATTTGATTAAACGACTTAGTCAAGCTGTTATTTTTAGTAAATTTGATTTAAAAAGTAATTTTTGGCAAATTCAAATTCATCCTATTGATAGATACAAAACTGCATTCAATACACCATTTGGTCACTATGAATGGAATGTAATGCCATTTGGATTAAAAAATGCTCATAGTGAATTTCAAAATGTAATGAATGATATATTCAACCCATTTAGTTATTTTTCTATTTTTTACATTGATGACATTAATTTTTTCTAAATCAATTACTGAACATTGGAAACATTTAAATGCATTCTTTTATACAATTAAAAGTCATGGTTTAGTCATATCTGCTCCTAAAATTAAATTGTTTCAAACTAAAGTTAGATTTTTAGGTTATGATATTCATCACAATACTATTCTGCCAATTAGTCGCTCCATAGAGTTTGCGTCTAAGTTTTCTGATGAAATTCTTGATAAAACCCAATTACAAAGGTTTTTAGGTTCTCTCAATTACATTGCTGAATTCTGTAAAGACCTTAGGAAAGTCAGTCAATCTTTGTTTGATAGGTTAAAGGATAATCCTTCTCCTTGGTCTTCTGTTCATACTGCTATTGTTCAACAAATCAAACAATATGTTAAGTCTTTTCCTTGTCTTGGTATTCCTACTAAGCATTCATTCAAAATTATTCAAACTGATATTTTTGATATTGGTTATGGTGGCATTCTTCTTCGGAAAGTCACTCCTCAAAATCCTCTGAACAAATTGTTCGTTATCACTCCGGTGTCTGGAATAAAGCACAATTAAATTATAGTACTATTAAAAAAGAAATTTTTTCTACTGTTTTATGTATTACCAATGGGGGGTGGGGTGGTGGTGGTGGTGGTGGTGGAGAGGGAGAGGTTGTTGGGATTGGTGGGGTGGTTGGCGGAGGTGGCTAGTGTGCGAAATGGGAACTTGGGTTTGAATGTGGTGGTGCTGGAGGGTGGTGGTGAAACCCAGTGGAGAGTGAGAGTGTGGGTTAATGGGAATTGGTTTGGTTGTGGTGGTGATGATGAAGATGAGAGTGGCGGTTTAGTGTTGTTCATGGCCTGTCCATTTGGGGAGGAGAGAGAGGGAGAGGTTTGTTGTTTAAATTGAGAGAGAGAGAGAGTCGGGGGGATATTTTTGTTTTGAAGGGGAAGGCAAGTATTGGGTGGAGATGGAAGTACTACGTCGAGTATATTAGGGCCGCTTGTTTGTTTGTTATTTGCACATTACAATTATGATTTTCTTTCTTTTTTTCTTTTTTAATTAACAAAATGTGTCTCTCTCATGTTCAATACCAACCCACCATTTAGATGTCATAAAAAGATATGAATGTTATAATAATAATAATAATATTAGAATTATTAGTCTAAGCAAATCATCTTGGTCTTGTCTTGCTTTTTATATTAACAAAAATGCTAAATTAGAAAGAAGTGTCTCTCGACTTGTTATTAATTATAAACCTTTAAATGCTGAAGATTTGATTAAACGACTTAGTCAAACTGTTATTTTTAGTAAATTTGATTTAAAAAGTGATTTTTGGCAAATTCAAATTCATCCTAATGATAGATACAAAACTGCATTCAGTACACCATTTGGTTACTATGAATGGAATGTAATGCCATTTGGATTAAAAAATGCTCTTATGTTGTGTTTGGTTGGGGGATTTGGAGAGGGATTTGGAAAGGAAAATGGAAAAGGTAGGTGAAATGTGAATAAATCATACCTATATTTCACATAGTTTCACACACCTTTTCCCTTTCCCTTTCCAAATCCCTCCCCAAATCCCCCAACCAAACACACCATTAGTGAATTTCAAAATATAATGAATGATATATTCAACCCATTTAGTCATTTTTCTATTTTTTACATTGATGACATTAATTTTTTCTAAATCAATTACTGAACATTGGAAACATTTAACTGTATTCTTTAATACAATTAAAAGTCATGGTTTAGTCATATCTGCTCCTAAAATTAAATTGTTTCAAACTAAAGTTAGATTTTTAAGTTATGATATTCATCACAATACTATTCTGCCAATTAGTCGCTCCATAGAGTTTGCGTCTAAATTTCTTGATGAAATTCTTGATAAAACCCAATTACAAAGGTTTTTAGGTTCTCTCAATTACATTGCTGAATTCTGTAAAGACCTTAGGAAAGTCTATCAACCTCTGTTTGATAGGTTAAAGGATAATCCTCCTCTTTGGTCTTCTGTTCATACTGCTATTGTTCAACAAATCAAACAACATGTTAAGTCTCTTCCTTGTCTTGGTATTCCTACTGAGCATTCATTCAAAATTATTCAAACTGATGCTTTTGATATTGGTTATGGTGGCATTCTTCTTCAGAAAGTCACTCCTCAAAATCCTCTGAACAAATTGTTCATTATCACTCCGGTGTCTGGAATAAAGCACAATTAAATTATAGTAGTATTAAAAAAGAAATTTTTTCTACTGTTTTATGTATTACCAAATTTCAAGATGATATTTTAAATCAAAAGTTTTTATTTCGTGTTGATTGCAAATCTGCTAAATATGTTTTACAAAAAGATGTTTAAAATCTTGCTAGTAAGCAATTTTTTGCTCGTTAGCAATCTATTTTAAGTATTTTTTATTTTGATATTGATTATATACTTGGTTGTCAAAATTTCCTTCCTGATTTTCTTACCCGGGAATTTTTACAGGAGGGTAAGGAATGAGTGCTACTCCACAAATTACCTATATTAAAACCCAAATTACCCATTACCAAACCTTGATACACCAAGTTAACCACTGTATTCACCGCTTCAAATTAGCCCGGACAACCACTAAAAGAGCCCAATACATCAATTACCATCAGATTAAAGCTCGTCGCAATTTACTCACTAATTACATTAGTCATTTGAATTACTACCAGAATTATTTAGATCTTCTTTCTGGTTGTTAATCTTTGCTACTAATTATTGTTTCATTTCTACATATGTCTCGCCCAAGGCCTCCTCCTGGTAAGGCTTTGGTTCCATCTAATCAACCTTTTGTTCCTCCTCCTTTGGAGTTAGTAAACTAGTATCCTCAACCTATTGAAATGATCAACCGTTACCAAGTTCTTGGTAACATTCCTAGACCTAATTACTCCTCTGCTTTGGCTATTGATCCATTTGCTTCTTCCAGCCAAGCAGTCTCAATTACTCCATTTCCTGCTAATCCAATCAGGTTTGCTCGATCTGATTATGTTAAATCAACCTCTACTAACCTCTTTTTCAAAGAGCCTAGTCACCCCAAGAGTCTAACTCTTAATGATCTTGCTAAATCCTATTTTGGATTTGGATGCCATTTTGTTCTTTCCCATCTAGATAAAACAATTACTTACTACAAAGATATCCTGATCGATCACCAATCAGTTTTGATTAAACCCATTTATGATCGCACCTATTCTAGTAAAATTCTGTATCATTCTATTTATATTCACAGCATTGTCTCCCTAGCTGAATGGGGTCCTCCTTATCAGCTTTGTGAATTACCTGATCATTCTATTCCCTATAATTACCATGATTACATTGATGCCTGGTTCAAGGTCTTCTTGTACCAAAATGAAACCTTCAGCTATTCCTGGTTTATTCAATTTGATCAAAAGTTCAAATCAGAATTACCTTCTTGGTTTCTGAGATGGTGGTCCCATTATGGTGCCATTTCAGATATCTTCCCTGATATTCTGATTGAACAAATCAACTATTTTGCTACTGTTTTCCCATTTACTCCTCACCAACGAGAATTTCCATTATTGCTAATTTTTATATTTAAGTATAAAATCCCTTGGATATTTAAATGGCATTATGGTATTGTTGATGACATAATTATCCGTCAACATTCTGTTCAATGGTGGGATAAGTTCACAGTTTCCCGCATTGTGGAAATTGTTCAAGCCGAATTCCCATCTGATCAACTTGCTCCTACTCTTACTATGGTCAACGCCCAGCAGAACCCAACTGCTGCAATCAGCCAAGGAAGTCCTAGCCTTCCTCCAGTCAATCTTGGAAGCCCCTCATCTAGTGGCTCCAAGCCCAAATCAAAAGATAAATCGGCAAAGCCCACTGAAAAATCCAAGTCCAAAGTTGTAGCTGCTCAGTCGGCCCAATTAAAGCCCAAATCAAAGTCCAAGTCCAAGGCTAAGCCCATTTCACCTTCTGCTCAGCCTAAAGTCAAGTCCAAGAATAAGCCCAAGTCATCCAAATCATCCAGAGATGAATTGCTCCAGTTAGTTCGCAAGCTTGTGGATCAATCTGAAGCCCAATCAACTTCCAGTTCAGACAGTTCAGAAGAAAGTTCAGAAAGTTCGCATTCTTCTGAAGAGTCAACTAATCAATTTTTGGGTCCAGAGTTTCAAGATGCTCAGGATCTATTTGCCTAATCAACATAGGATTCTATATAGATACAAATTAGCTTCAATCAATACTCTTTTGAGAAAAGTTGCCAATTTGTATTTATATTGATTCCCCTAATCACATATTCCACCGAAAGCATGAATAGTAAAAATTACTGTTCACTTTTACTGTTCATCAATCAACTTTTGTCAACTTTTGGTAAAAGCTGCTCAACTGTTCAATCAATCAGCTGAAAGCAACCGACAGCTTTGCTCAGTCTCCAATGCTGCCAGCTGCCTTCGATCAATCAACCAATTCATATGCTGCATAGTTAATTTTCTTTTCTATATATTGTAATCAAATGTATTCATTCAGGCATTCTTCGTTTAAGTCTTTGTTTTGAGAAAAACCTGAGAGCTCTGAGTGGCAATCAAACCCTCCTCTTGTAACTTAATTAAGATCCTTGAAGTTGCTACGATTGTAATTGTAAGTTACTTTCTGTATTTTAATTACAAAGTTTTATATAAAATGATTTTGGTTAATTAGTGCATTCCAATTCTGTTGTTCAATTTTAGTCATATTTGATTTCGTAATCCATGTTCTTCATTCTGCTTGCTGCTTCCGCGTTTATGGCATCAGAGCCTAGTTATGTTGTATCCTGTTTCTAACTGCTTTGTTACTTCTGATCAATCAATTCTATTGTTTATTCGATTAATCTGGTTTCAGTCATCTTACTCTGCCACTAATTCTATTTGTGTCTTTCCACCTTGTTTAAGTCACCCATTTTTGCCCAACGTCTTAGGTAAGTCCTTTGGTTAGGCAGTGTTAGACATCGGGGCTCCCGAATAGGGTATGTATGTATACAAGGTATGTGAAAACATGATAAATTTAGGCAATGTATTAAGATTCCTATAAAACAGTTTAATTAAAAAGAACAATGAATCGATTATTTAGAAGTAACTCATCAGTCAGTTCTAGGTCAACTACTTTGCCCTCAATACCTAATCAAGGATTAGTAATTAATGAAGAAGATGTAGAAATACAAAATGATAAAATTGATTTAGGATGGAATATACCAAAATTACCAATTAAAGAAAGTTATAAAACTACTTTTATACAGAATGCTTTTAAAGTTACCTTGCATGTTAAAACAATTGAACAAGTTTATACTTTAGAGAAACCCAAGGAAGCTTGCCAATTATTGATGCTAATTTAATCAAAAGACATTTTAAAAATGGTTACAATTTTATTCATATTGGTTTAATTTAAGTTGGTGCTAATCCATTAACTATGGTATGTAAAAATACCTCTGTTTTATTATGTTTACGAGATGCTCATTTTTTTAATTACAATGATAGTTTAATGGGTATGATGGAAACTGGTCTTCATAAAGGTTCAGTACATTTTAATTATTTTTCAGATTTTACACTTAGTGTACGTGATCCACATATTTTAGATGCATTAACATTAAATATTCAATTAAATGGTTCATTTACTAACATGAAAGAAAAAGTTCATAATATTGCTTTAATTTATCGTGTTCACTATAAATGCATAAAAACCAATTTAAATGTTCAAGCTTTACATAAAAGTCCAAAAGATAAAACTCTGTTAATTCAAGGTAGTAATACTGATTCCCATATTAATGTTCCTCAAATGATAGAATGGAAAGATATTAATCTCTTTGATCAATGGATAATTGTTAATGAAAATTACAAACATAATCAACAACAATCTTCAATCCAAGATATCCAAGATATTCAACAATATACTGATGGTTCAGTTTGTATTAAATT